TATATTTTAGCTTTGTCGGTTGAAAGAAATTTCTCAATGAATATGGACAATGTTTAACTTTAACAGAACAAATTAACATTATATATTTTGTATGGTAATGGACATATTTGTGAAGCATTTAGCAACTATTTATGTGCCCATCATGACATCTTTTCTGCTTTATTTTTCTTCTTAGTTGATTTCATATGTGTTAACTTATTTCCATCATTCTACATTTGACTCCTTTTCTTGTGTGCTGTATGCTTAGTAGTTATTAGACTTCAACCTAGAAATGGCAGCATAATTTTTTTTATCACTAGGCACACTGTGAAATTATTTAATATCCTTATCCTCCACCTTGACAATATAAGACATCGTATATGAATGTATTTACATTCATACACCTGATTTAAAAAATCCTAACATGTACGGTTTATAACATTTTATGCATAAGTGAGGTGTACACTGCTCAGTGAATTTGGGCAAACTGAGCATCCCTCTAGTTGCATATCCGATATCAAAAAAACAGAATATTTTCAGCCTTGCAGAGACCTCTGTTTGCTCACCCAATCACCATCTCCTATAGGTTCAATGCATCTTCCAAAGCTACAAGTCTTGGAACATGAATTTCTAGTGTGGCTATATTGGGAGATGGAGACTGATGGGAGAGGTTGAGGTCATGGGGCTCCACCCTCATGAATGGAATAATTCTGTTTTTCACTGTAGTGAGGTAATCATTACAATAGAGAGTTAGTATAAAGCAAGCCCAGCATCTTGTGGTTTTTTCCCCACACACAATCTCTTGTTCTTTCACCATCTGCTCTGTTATGATGCAGCACAAAGGTTCTCACCAGGTCTGACTTCAGCCTCTTGCACTACCATCTTCCAGGATCATACCCCAAATATTCTTCTTTTCTTTTTAAGTTACCTACTGTCTAGTATTCCACTCTAACAGCAGATAATGAAATAAGACACTGTCTCTAAGTATGATCATGATAGTGACGTCTAACAATATGCATCATTTCACCTCCTCTGTACATATATGAAACTGTACATCATAAGATGTTTTATATTTGGCTTTTCACATTCTACATGTTTCAAAGTTGTCTGTATTTTATACATGATTAGTGACACAAGTGATTATGTAAATATAATATCAAACAATTAATTTAAGTATTCTTCTCTTGATGTACATATGAGTGTTAAACAGTTGGTGTATCATGAATCCCTCTAGCATTTAAGTTCTGAAACATGTATTCATGAAATATATATATGAATTTTTGTTGTTTCTATGTATATGCATGTATGTATGACCTCCTGGGTCATAAGTTTAGTATTGAGCATTACAGGATGCTGAGAAATCATTATCTAGAATATTTGTGTAAGTTTCCACCTGTAGAAGTTCTTAATTTCAATACAATGTCATTTGAAAGGTATGCCTGTGTAGTTAACATTTTCATTCTGCTAAAAATACTATTGCAAGATTTCAAAGACTTGCTTCCGAATATGAGTGGATAATGCTCCCCCAAGACTCTACTCCAAATGGCCCCCGAAAGATGACTCTGAGGCCTCAACCTCAACTGTGTATTTAACATGTATTTGTGATCAAAGATGTCAGCTGCACCCAAAACAGGCACTCAGAACGTGGCTTCTCTACATTGCTAGGTGTGGAGGCCCTAAGAGAGCATTTCAGCCCAGATTCCCTCAAAAGTAATGGACTAGTCCACCGTCCCCCACCCCACCCCCGCCACCCCACCCACCACAAAAAATGTAACTGACCAGATGGAAAATCCACATACCTAACGCCTCCTCTCATCCTTTCTGGGCATTCTTAAGCCTGTAAAAGGGGCAGAGAACGTCAGGGGACACCTGATCCTACACCTGAACATGCAGATGTGCACAAGGGAAGTGTAGCCACCCTGCCTGCTAAGTTCGGTCCCTCCCAAGCCGGGTACCCTGAACGCTTGTGCTTGTAGACAGGATCCCTTAAATATAACTTGACTGCCTAGGACTGGCACATGGATCCACAAACCCTCAGGTCATGTGGTCCTCAACCTTCCCCATAGCAGCCCCTTCACACCCAGGGATCACTGAATCTATTCCTTTGCCCAGAATATGCTAACTGCAGGAACAACAGTGCATGTGTGTTGAGATGTGACCATAGTGTGTAAGCTTAAGTGTGCTGTTTTCTTTCTCTAGCTTCTTGTGAAAGAAGAGGGATGAGAGGACGGTACTGAAAGAGGAATGTTGGGAGGGATGTTTCGGTACAACCAAAGACTATGTTCCATGAGCAAATTTATAGGTGCCACTGCAGACCTGCTCTGTATTAATTTCTTAAAGTGAATTTAGCCCCCATTAACCAGTTTAAACAAGATCTCCCGGGGAGTTGAGGGCACCTGATAGTTTGAGAGAGAGAGAGAGTCATTCACTCTGTGTTCCTCAATACTGTCTTCTCCTCAGGGTCACCAAGAGAGCTTTAAAAAATTCCATAGCCTGTACCCTACCATGTCCCACATATTTATTCTGTCACTTAGTCTGAATTGGGGCCCAGTCTCAAACTAGTTGTAATACAATGATGCAGAGAATTGTAGGGCACATGCAGGGTTAACTACTGAGCATTCAGGACACGTTTCTGAAGGAGGGACTGTGCTCCTGACTTTCAGGAAGTGACTGGGGTCTGCTCTCATGGATCTTGTAAGGAAACTTCAGTGCAGCCACATTCTGGGGGCTATGGAAGGATTTGTGAGTGCTTCTAGGTGAGGAATGTCCAGAAGACAGGGTGGAAATACTCATGTTATAACCATTATATCAGAGACCTCTGTCTTGAATCCGTCCTGTTCCTACCATGTGGAAGGGCGGTCATGTCTGCATTTCACATACTTTCTGCCTGTGGATCAGTGGGTGGCAAGGGAAGGTGTGTTTGTCTTCAGTGGAGCCTTAACACAGTGCCATCAACTGAGCGGGTTCACAACGGAAATTTAATGTCTCCCAGCTCTGAAAGCTAGATATCCAAGATTTAGGTGTCTTCAGAGCTGTATGCTCAACCCAGGCTTCAGTCCTGTGCAGGGAACCTCCTGGCCCGCATCACAGCCAGGTGAGGCCCGCTGGCATGAGGTCTGGCCTGCTGGAAGAGGCCCAGAAGAAGCCGTGGAGTTGGGGAGGGTATAAAGGAGCGAGGCCTGGAGGGAATCAAGATGGTGGACAAGAAACACCGCCAGACAGAGTGTCTCTGCAGAAAAGACAGATTCTAGCAAAATTTAGAAGAAAGAAGCAAGAAGAGGAGCCTACATCAGATGAGGATCGGAAGGAGGGGTACCTAAGACCACGGAAGACTCCACAGGAGGAGGTCGCGGACAAGGACTGGAAGCAGGGACCTCCGGAGCAGCCCACAGAGCAGCGGGAAGGACAGGTGATTCGGCCGTTTCCCCTCCCCTGCATCTTGGACTGCTGGTGGGCTCCCCAGTGGGTGGAGAGACCTGCGGACACCAGCCCAGCCACGGCAGCCACCGGCGAGTGGTAAGCCTGTATCGGACACGCCACCAGGCTCCCAACTCCCTCGGGGCACCTCCATGTGCACAAATCTGAGCCTCGAGGCAGGCGCCATATTGCCTCCTTCTCCCTTCCCCCGACCCTACCCGTGGCTGCTCAGAAAGACAGAGAGATAATACAGCCGACAACTGGAGGCACCTACAGGGAATGGGACCTTCCCTTTTGGGGCCCTGAAGCTGACTAAGGGAACATAGACCGTGAGCTCCCTACCCACCAGCCCTCCCAGGTGCTGCTGGCATGGTGATCTCAGGAGAACAGGGAAGACCCTGAGGCTGAGAGACATAGACCCAGCTTGGGCTCCCTGTGGGTGAATTGGGACTGGCACTCCTCTCCCTGGTGGGGATATAGTTTGAACTATGGAACCCAGAGGTCAGACCTGCAGACAAGATCCCATGCACCGAGGTCTCGAATTGCCCGGGACACAGAAGGGATATATGTGAACAGCCTACTGAGGTGTGTGTGCCTTGAGGGGCAGATCAGCATCCTAGAGGGCAATCCTCTCCCCAAAGGGAGACCATGCGCCCAACCCAGGTAGCGTTCCTGCACAGGGAACCTCCCGGCCAGATCACAGGCAGAAGAGGCCTGGTGGCGTGTGGTCTGGCCTGCTGGCAGAGGCCCAGGAGTAGCCATGGAGTTGGGGACCATGGAAAGAAGTGAGGCACGCTCCAGACTGTGGGTCTCAGACAGCCCCATCCCACAGGCAGAATCTCTCCCTGACAGCTTTTCCTGGAAGCAGAGAACAGAACTTTGACTCCTGCTAACAACATTGGCGGTGCCTAAGGGCAGGTTTACACAACCAAGCTCTGCCCAGACTCTCTCCTAGACCAGCCCTCACTGAGGGGGGGGGGAAGGACACACCTGGTAGACCCAGGGCCCCACCCACCACATGAGGCACTAGAGTGCCTCTCTACAGGAACAAGAGCTGATAAGAGGACACAAAAACAACAGCGTAGCCTGTTCCTTCAAGCAAGCGCCACCTACTGACAGGGAGGGCATGCTGCACACCCTTTTCATGGCACCCACTGACTCATCATACAGGGAGTGGTCGAATCTCACCCACAGACACCACCTAATGGCTCAGAAACTAAACAAGGTGTGTGAATACCCAAACAAAAACATAAAGGAAAGAAACAACAACTGATCGACATGGGAAGAAATCACCGAAGGAACTCAGGAATGATGAAGAACCAAATGGAAAACACAAGCCCAAAGAGGAGCACCAGCCCCCTAGAAACAGACACCAACCAAAATCAGGCAACCAAAATGAAAGAAGAGGAATTTCAAATGTGGATCATAAGAAAATTCAACAACCTGCAAGAACAACTCAATAACCAACACAAAGAAACCAAAAAAGCCTCCAGGATCTGGAACAAAAGTTCACTAAAGAAATAGACACAATGAAGAAAAGTTTAACCGAACTCCTGGAAATGAAGAATCAATTCTGGGAATTACAAAATACAGTTGAGTCCGGTTCGGTGGAAGAAAGTTGGGCCGAAGGAGGGGCCGCGGAGAGGGAGGAGGAGGAAGAGAAAAGGGCCGGGCGGCGGCGGTGTAGGTTGTGCGGTGGTAGCGGCTCTCCCCCGGCGGACGATGGACAGCCAGGGCAGGAAAGTGGTGGTGTGCGACAACGGCACCGGGTTTGTGAAGTGTGGATATGCAGGCTCTAACTTTCCAGAACACATCTTCCCAGCTTTGGTTGGAAGACCTATTATCAGATCAACCACCAAAGTGGGAAACATTGAAATCAAGGATCTTATGGTTGGTGATGAGGCAAGTGAGTTACGCTCAATGTTAGAAGTGAACTACCCTATGGAAAATGGCATAGTACGAAATTGGGATGACATGAAACACCTGTGGGACTATACATTTGGACCAGAGAAACTTAACATAGATACCAGAAATTGTAAAATCTTACTCACAGAACCCCCTATGAACCCAACCAAAAACAGAGAGAAGATTGTAGAGGTAATGTTTGAAACTTACCAGTTTTCGGGTGTGTATGTAGCCATCCAGGCAGTTCTGACTTTGTATGCTCAAGGTTTATTGACTGGTGTAGTGGTAGACTCTGGAGATGGTGTAACTCACATCTGCCCAGTGTATGAAGGCTTTTCTCTCCCTCACCTTACCAGGAGGCTGGATATTGCTGGGAGGGACATTACCAGATATCTTATCAAGCTGCTTCTGTTGCGAGGATATGCCTTCAACCATTCTGCTGATTTTGAAACAGTTTTATGTGGGTTATAATATTGAGCAAGAGCAGAAACTGGCTTTGGAAACCACAGTACTAGTTGAATCTTATACACTCCCGGATGGACGCATTATCAAAGTTGGGGGAGAGCGATTTGAAGCACCAGAAGCTTTATTTCAGCCTCACTTGATCAATGTTGAGGGAGTTGGTGTTGCTGAATTGCTTTTTAACACGATCCAAGCGGCTGATATTGATACCAGATCTGAATTCTATAAACACATTGTGCTTTCTGGAGGGTCTACTATGTACCCAGGCCTGCCATCGAGGTTGGAACGAGAACTTAAACAGCTCTACTTAGAACGAGTTTTAAAGGGAGATGTGGAAAAACTTTCTAAATTTAAGATCCGCATTGAAGACCCCACCCCGCAGAAAGCACATGGTATTCCTGGGTGGTGCTGTTCTAGCAGATATCATGAAAGACAAAGACAACTTTTGGATGACCCGACAAGAGTACCAAGAAAAGGGTGTCCGCGTGCTGGAGAAACTTGGTGTGACTGTTCGATAGACTCCAAAGCTTATTCCCGTCATGCCCCTAACACTTTCTTTTTTCCTTTATTGCCAATCTTTGAACTCATTCAACTCCAAGACATGGAAGAGGCCTCTCTGTTCCCATTTACTGGGAAGGTCAAGTTTTATTCTGGTGTCTTGGGGAAGCTTTGTTAAATTTTTGTTAATGTGGTAAATCTGACTGTTTAATTCAACCACTTTCCTACAAACACAACAAGAGGTAAAGGGTCCTGTCTGCTGCTTGTTTTCTTCTAAGTAGGCATTAGATAATCCTGTAAGCAGATCTTT